GGGGGGAGGGGGGGGAGGGACAGGCACAACATTCAATCAGACAATGTACCATTTTATTCCTTATAAAATATATTTCATATTGTTGCTGTAAAAACATTACATTTCACATTTAAAAAAAAAACAAAAAACTTTTTTAACAGTAAAAATAATACTTGGAAGACAGCTGGGGGAAAAGGCGCCAGTAAGACAAATTCACAAATGGGATTTCTCTCCCTCCCTCTCCCTCTCTCTCTTTTTCTTTTTCTTTTTTTTTTTTTTTTTTTTTTTTTTTTTTTTTTTTGCCCCTGGTAAAGTCAGAACCTGGGAGGAGCAGAAAATAACAGGACAGATTTCTTCAAACAAATCAGAGTATCCACCTCCAAATTAATCATGTCCTCCAAGGACAGAAGCCATAGGTGTACCATCGCCATGTGGACATTGCTCAAAATGCTCTCTAAAACTGCAGAACTGCTTCCCCAGCCAGCTCCAACACCACACAATTGAGTCCAATTACTGTACTCACTAGTCAGTCCTTGTGCTTTGCACCCGTGACCCCACTTGGCCACCGCCATTCGGGGCTCTCTCTGCACTGAGTCAGCCTGAGGGCAGGTTCCGTATCATTAAGGCTGGTCACGGTAGCCACCAGACTCCCAAGGTAACTCCAAGAAATATTTGGAATAAGGGTAATGCCAGTGAAATAAAGTTTCCCCAAAATAACTGCATTTGATGACCAGTCCTGTTAGTTTCCAACGTGCACCTGTGGCATCTTACCTTCTCTCAGATTCTGCTGCCCAGGTGGGCCGGGAAGTTAGGGAGAGAGACACAGAGATGAAAAAAAAAACAGGCACGATCACTGGATCGGTTCACAAACCACCCCACCCTCCGAGAAGAAACAAACGGGGGAACCCCAAGGACAGACCACACGTCAGGAACCAACACAACAGCCACGAGATTGAGGTGCGGGAAGAGGGACGCCAGAGGGGGCCGCCACCACCCGAAATAAGACAGGAGCAAATGCAGACAGGGAAAGCTGCACCAAAACAAAACATCAAAAGATAAAATAAAAAATAAAACCACCTCAGCTTTTCAATGGTTTCGTCAATTCCTTCTTTCTCTCTTCCTTCTCTGCCCTGGGTACCAAAGACATGAAAAGCCTACCTCCCTTAGAGGACACCTTTATATCCAGTTATATCTGCACAATCCAAACCGAGGGGGAAATGGGAACAGCTTTTCTAAAGATGGGATTAAGAAGGGAAGGGGAGGGAAGGGAAGATACTGCTGGGCAGCATCCTGCGCCTCACACACGCCCTCCCCTCCCCTCCCCGAGAAGCCCTGAAAACGGACAGCGTGGGAGGTGAGTAGAATCAGGACGAGCTTTTCATTCTCAGGGAGGCTGAAGGGACAGGAAGGAGAGCCCTGGGCCACCTCCGGCTGGCCTGGCTTTGAGCTTTACCGAGGAAGAGATTCCACGTAACCTTTTTTCACAAAGTTATAAAAATATACCCCATCACCACCCAAGACACCTGTGCGTAACTGTCTTTCCCTCTGTCACCAAACCCGGGTCCCCATCACCTTTCACAAAGCCACGCCCCTGTTCTCAGGTGGGCAGGTGTCCTCACGCTCCACCTGCCTCCCACCGCGAGGCATATGCACATTCCCATGGGAAGCGGCCAAAGGAGCTCCCGATAGCCAGGTATTTCCCCCTGGGGCAGGAGGTTTCCTCCTGGGCTCAATGACAGCCCACAGAGGGGATGCTGCTGCTCTTTCCCCAGAGTGGCTTGGTGGGGTTCCCTGAGCCCCTGACATCTAGGACATGGGTCCAAGGCAGCTGGTCAAGCAGGCCTCAGGGAATGGCCACAGTTCCTAGGAAGGCAGGCGAGGCTCTGAAACCAACAGGGGCTCAGCTCACCCCATCTTAACCCCTGGTGGGCATGGCACTAAACTCGCCACATCTCTCTCCTTCTCCGCAGACAAGCTTTGCTCATTAACCTCCTGAGCAATGCGGTACAGGCTCCCCTCAGTTGCTGTGGCCTCCAGAAACACCCCGGGCTAACGCACCAGGAGCTGGGAAGGCATCCCCAGGTCCTCCTCACCCCATTTCCTCAGCTCTCTCTCTAACCTTCTCCATCCTGCCTTCAGGCAAGAAGGTGCTCAGCAGGTACCTGGGACGGTCACACCACACTGAGATAACATTACCTCCTCATCACCAGGCTGGGCCAACCCGGGTAACAAATCCAGAAGCCTCCTGCCTTGCGTCCTATCCCACTTGTCACCTAAGGGAGGGATGAGATTGCTCCCAAAGGGGCAGCTGAGCCATCAAACAATCAGAGACCTGCCAACTGCTTCTCCATCGGTGGGCAAGCTGCCACTCACCTACCTACCTATGCTCTTCTCTCTCCTTCCCCACCAGCCCTGCCTGTAGCCTCGGGAGGGAAATGGGGAAATCCCTGGTGAAACCAGAGGCAGAGAGGAACCTACCACCCAAATAAAGGGGAACTTTAATCAGATAAAGGCTTCTGAATACACCATAAAAGAAAACAAAGTGTTTTAGCAGAGAGCTTTCACAGATACAGAAACCCTCTCACTTTTCCTCAAGGAAAGAGGAAAGAATATCAAGGTAGTGTTTGACCGCCACATGTCAAAAAGTGAATTCTGATCAGCCTTTTGGCTCAGCTACTTGGGGACAGTCTTTAAAAAACGCTGGGTCTGGGCTTTGAGAAGAAGCCGCGCAGTACGTGTTGGGATGCCACCCAACGTCTGAGGGGACCCAGATTCAGAGAGTTGTCACCAGAAGGTTGTCCTTTTACTTCCATGGAAGCTGCTTGGCGAGACAAGCTCTCCATTCTCCAGGGTTCAGGTGGAGAAGGGCTTGCTGCAAAAAAAAACAACAAAAAACCGCCCAGATACCCCCCACTCTTCCCACCCCAACGGCAGGTCCTGCTTTCTGAGTCATCAGCCAGAAACTTTTTTTTTTTTTTTTTTTTTTTTAAGAAAAGTAAATTCATCTTGCTCACAGTCCTTTCTGGGTGAGTTGAGAAAGCAAAGAATTCACCAACTCAGCAGGAAACAGAATGAGCGGTTCCTTCTTTTGATGCTTACACACTAATCCCCTGGCGAGAGGGGATGTGGGGAAGGGAGGCCCATTCATTCTTTGGTCTCTAGTTCGCTGCAGAATACCCTTGGTCAGTTTTGGCTCTCTCCTCCTTGAGGGGGGAAAAAATAGGTTCGTTTCTCTTTTTAAAAAATAAAATGTGCCCACAAGGGAGGGAAAAGGGGTTTAAGTATTAAACCTCAGCCAAGAGAGCCCACACTCCCAGTGTCCACTCTTTATCGGTAGGTGTCTGCTGAGGGCTCACGGGTCCGCCTTTTGTCATCTGGCTGCCGTGGGGCCGGGAGCAGCGAGGGGGAGCCGGCCGGCAGGTTCAGTCCAGGAAGCGCTGGCAGGCCTTCTTCCAGCGGCAGGCTGTGCACCACTGGTCCCGGTGCTCAATGCCGTACACTTTGCGGCACTTCTTAGCCTCCCCGCGGGCCTTCCTGCGAAGGGAGAGTAATGAGGGCACGTCACGAGCTGGTGGTTAGCCCCGGAGAGTGGCCAAGTGTGAGGCTGAGCAAACAAGTGGTGTGTCCTCCAGCCGGGCTCACCCCGCCCCGCCTGGTTCCCAGGACTGACCCTGAAGCCCAGGGTCAGTGGGCTCAGAGCCCATGCTCGCAGTGGAGACAGTGGGGACGAAAGCCAGGAGGAGGCGCTGGGAGCAGAGGCCTTACCTGGTGCTGCTCTGGGCCCGGGGTGGAGATGTGACAATCAGGTGAGATTTCATGGCAGGTGGTGGCTGCTGGGGCTCGCTGAAGCTTAGCGACCTGCTCCGGACCTGGGCACAGAGAGAGGGGCCATAAGCACAGGGAAGGCAGCCACGCCCGTGGGGCCCCTCCTTGTGCCAGGAGGGCCAGCATGCCTTTTCCGGAAGGACATTTCAGACGGAGGTGAACAGGGGCCAGGTGAGGGGAGCGGGAGAGTGAGGAGCAAGCAAGCCTATTAGTGACGCTCATGAGAGAGTAGGGGCCACGGGCAGGGGAGTTGGCCTGGCCACTTCAGGGGCTGCTCCCTCAAGACTTAGAGGCAGTCACCACAGGTGACAGAAAAGAAGGGATGGCACTGTCTCAAAGCCATGTTCAAGCATCCAGGCTTCCCGGCGTGTGATCCCTTCCACCAGAGACGTGTAAGACTAGAACCCACGGTGGGTGGTGCAAGTGGCTTCCAGTGCATTTTAGTTCAGAGGCAAGCCACCTGAGCAGTGGCCCACGGTGGCTGCGAGATTTCTGATCCGGCCTACACAGCCCCCACCAGCTCCCACCTGCTTGCTTGCCCTCCACCCTCCTCCCCTCCAGGTTTCCCACATTCTCTCCCTTCTTAACAAGCACCACAGACACTCGGGCCTAACAGGGCACTGACCCTGGCCTCTCCTCGTGATTTTCTTGGCAATAAACTTGCATGACCTGGTTTCTTCTCTGCAGGCACCCTCCTTCCACCTGCTAAGAGGGGCTGGGACCCGCTGGAGAGTGCCAGGCCAGGGGATGATCTTCACGAAGTGTGGGTGCTGCTGAGCAGTGCGAGGAGAGGGCCCCAGCACTGGGTATGTGTGGCAGAGCCCTGGGACTCGGAGACCGGCACACTCACCGGAGTGAGGGAGGAGGCCGTGGAGGGGGCGGCGGCCCAGCTTATACTGGTGTAGATGTGCGGTGAGACGGGGATCTGAAAGGACGGCAGGGCCTGCGGGAGACAAGACAGCGTCAGCCCAGGTCCCGGCTCTCTGACTCCACCCACACTCCTGTGACATCAGGATGCACAGCAGAAGGTCTCTGGCGGGAAACCCTGGGATCCGCCAGAATGCCCTTCCCAAGAGAAACAGCAGAGTTCCCAACTCTCTGACGTTGTCTCCTTAGTCCCGGATGCCAATCTTTTTTAGGAACCCCTCTCAGAGCCGGTGCACACGCTAGCCGCATGATGTCATCATCACCCACCAAGAACACGCTATAGGCAGTTCCCCAAAAACGGCCCAAAGCCTCCTGAGCAGGGAGCGATTGCTGCAGTAAGGGTAGGGCGTCCCCAGCAACCACGTGGAATTAACAACACTCTCCTGGATGAACGGGTTTAGGTTTGTCTATCAAAACACCAGCCACAGTCTCCAGCGGAAGCCAGGTGCCTGAAGGGCCACCTGAAAGTTGGCCAAACATGAAATAGCTAAGTGACCACTCATTCTAATGAGGAAACCTGGCTCATTCTGTAAAGGTTTTCTGATTGAAAGCACTGCTGTCTAATTACTAACCTGCCAGTCAGTCTGGAGTCTGATAATTGTAAAGGTTTTCTGATTGAAAGCACTGCTAATTACTAACCTGCCAGTCAGTCTGGAGTCTGATAAAATCAAGCTGTGGGCACGAAAGCATTAAAAGAAAAACTGGCACAAGGTAAGCTGTGCATTTACTGAATACCTACTATGTGCACAGTGAAGACCATCCTAAATGACACCCCCTCCGTGACAACTTTCCCAACCACATGGGCATCCTAGCTTGGTCCTTCCTGTACCCACAACAAAGTCTTGTGCCTCCAGGAAGGTACAAGACATGGACGATTATAATTAATCATAGTTACATATGCATTTCTCAAGGTCAGTACAATGTCTTATTCTGTCTGGAAAGCTTATCCCACTGCTTGACACATAGTAGGGTTTTTAAAAATAGGTGCTGGATTGTTTGTTAGTGTAACACAATTCTAGGGACTAGGGATTTGCTCTGGGAAGCCCAATGACACGACTCTATCCACCTTTATAGCCAGCAGCGTAACATCTCCCCCGTCCAAATCCATCAACCTGGGTGCTCGGGGGTTAAACCAGATTTCTAGTAATCACTCGTGACAGCCACCGAGGAAGAACTCGGGAACCCCCACATTTATTTTCCTTTCCTTCTTTGTAGAAGTTAGAGGCGACCCATTTAACTGCAGGGCTCAGCCTCCAATCGGGGTGGTCAGTGCCCTGTGATCAGGCTGGTGGGTGACAGGTCAGACACGGAACATCCTCACGGTCGCAAGGCTAAGCTCCCAGTGTGCCCAGCCATACCTGGTATGCATGGTCAGCCTGAATGTGCCAGAAGGAGCCGGGAGCTGACTTGCTGAGAGCACCGGAGGGCAGGTAGGATTCCAGGCCAGGGTGCTCTGGGCCCGAGGGCTGGCCTTTGGGAGGAGGCGGTGGAAGAATGGCGAGGGGCAGGCTGGTCACACCGGGGGTGGGGGCTGAGTCGGCAGTGGGGGTGCCAGCAGCAGCTGCTTCCTCCTTCATCTGCACTTCCGTGTAGTAGAAATCCTCCTCCCGCTTGAACTGGTCGGAGTCCACAGAGTCCCTGCGGGGGCGGGAGACACGGCGGTGGTCAGGGACAAGCTGCCTCAGTTCAAACACAGAGGAAACTGAGGCGCAAGAGGGGGTGTCTGCTCAGGGCCACCCGGCGAGTCAGGGAAGGAGCCCAAGAGGCCACACAGGAGCCTGTTCCCAACTCAACGTCACAGGGGAGGACGTGCTTGCACATCAATGGGACTGTTTCTCCTGCACCTGAGGCTTCTCCTCTCTCACAGGGTGGATGAACCTCTCCTCCTGCAGGAGTCGTCTGACCCTGAGCCCTGCCACGGGTCCTGTCGGGCCCACCTCGTTGCTGTCACTGTCTCTCCTCCAGGGAAAGGGCTGTGAGCCAGTCCCTCAGCCAAGAGCACCCTGACTCTGGGGCAGCCGTGTCGACGGAGCCCCAGGTCCCCGAGGGAAAGCAGGGGCAGGCCTCGCCACGGGGTCTCCCCAAATCACCCTGTTTCTACCCAGAATTCTAACAGCTTGCATCCTACAGTGGGGCAAGATGACACATCCACAGACGGATGGTGCTCCCTCCCCATGAACAGATAGATCAGTGGTTCTCAACCTTCCTAATGCCGCGACCCTTTAATACAGTTCCTCACGTGGTGGTGACCCCCAATTTCATTGTTACAAATTGAACATAATTAAAGCATAGTGATTAACCACAAAAACAATATGTAATTATATATGTGTTTTCCGATGGTCTTAGGTGACCCCTGTGAAAGGGTCGTTCGACCCCCAAAGGGGTCGCGACCCACAGGTTGAGAACCGCTGAGATAGATCGCCATTCACTACGACAGGAGAGGAGGGTCCTTCTTTCCCAGCAAGGAACTCTCTCCAAAAGGCTACTCCGCTGGGCACAGGGGCAGGCACCAGGTGGCGCTCTCCTCAAGTCATTTCCTTGGAAGCATTCTGGGCTGTGGGTGCCCAGGCATCAGCAGGGTGGAGGAGACCTGAATGCTACCGGAGGCAAGCAGGCCCTGGGCCCCACACCTACCCCAGGTGGAGGGCCTTCACGTGGCGCTTGATACCCACGATGGAGCGCAGGACTTTGCCGCAGTTTGGCCACAGGCACTTGTACATCACCTTCACCGAGTTCTAGGGGAAAGGAAGACAGGGTCATTGGGACACGTTTCTCTCCTTCATCCCCTTCCCATCCTCACCTCCTGGGGACATCAGCCTCCTGCAAACAAAACCTAACAAAAGGCTCGCTGGGGCCAAAGAGACTGACAGGCAGGAGCAAAGTGCCTCGGCCCAGGAGCCGGGCCTGGCGGCCGGCAGCAGCGCTTGGTGCTGTGGGTCAGACCCCACCAAAGCCTCAGGAGAGCAGCGGAAGAGGCGGGGACTGGCACAGAGGCGAAGAGGAACCGGCATCGAAGAGAGCTCCTGGGAATGTCAAGAGGGATCAGCAGCAGAGGAAAACGAAAATGGGATGGAGCCTGAGAACGCCTGGGACCCGGGGGCCCACGTGGACGTCAGCCTCGCCGGCCCGAGCTCACGCTCACATCACCACGTACCTTTCTTTTACGTGGAGCTGGTTCATCCAACAGGAAAGCGTCCGGATCAGTTTCAAATCCAGCATCGGTTTGGGGAGAACCAAAGGCGTCCCCCAGATACTTGGGGCTGGCCTGGGGGTGGGGGGGCGAGGGGGTGGAAACGCCACTGTTCGCACTCCAGTGCCCGCTGGTGGTGCTGCTGCCGCTGTCGGACACATCGCCACTCTCCTTCCACAGGTCGCAGGCCGCACGGGAAGCTGGCGGAGGGAAGAGAGAGGACGCTCATGGGCCCGTCCCCAGACAGCGCTTCTGGCACGGCCCTGTCTGCACTGGATTCCACACTGACAGCCCAGGTCAGAGGCCACGACGTTCCCGATTGGAGCCTGGGTTCCTGAGTCCAATGCCTGGCTGTGCCACGTCAGGGAGAAAAAACCCAAACCTCCCCTTTCTGAGCATCAGTAAAAATGAGGAGACATTGCACCTCATCGCAGCAATGTCCCTGGGCAGTCCTGCTCGGCTCCAGTGGCCATCTCCTGCCACGGCCACGCTGATAACCACTGACCGACACGCACACACTGAAACTTCATCTTGTATTTCACTAACAGAAAGAGAACCAAATTTTAAAATGTGTTTCTCACTGCCCGGCTGGTATGGCTCAGTGGTTGAGCATCGACCTATGAACCTGGAGGTCATGGCTCAATTCCTGGTCAGGGCACATGCCCGAGTTGTGGGTTCAATCCCCAGTGGGGGGTATGTAGGAGGCAGCTGATCGATGATTTTCTCTCATCACTGATGTTTCTATCTCTCTCTCCCTTTCCCTTCCTCTCTGAAATAAAAGAAAAATATGTGTGTGTGTGTGTGTGTGTCTTTAATGTGTTTCTCACTTTATATGTTTTCAAAAAAGGCAGGGGGCCTAGCCGGCATGACTCCCTGGTTGATTATCAACCTATGAACCAAAAGGTCACGGTTCGATCCCCGGTCAGGACACATACCCAGGTTGCAAGCTCGATACCCAGTGTGGGACTTGCAGGAGGCAGCCAATCAATGATTCCCTCTCATCATTGATGTTTCTCTCTCTGTCTCTCTTCCTTCCTCTCTGAAATTAACAATTAATTATAATAAATAAATAAATAAATGGCAGGGGAAAGATTCTACTGCCTCTAGGCCTAAAAGAGTGGGTGAGAAGGTGCACAGACATGTGCCGGGGATCACTGGGTGCCTTCCCCACAGCGGAGTAGGATGGAAAGGCCAAGCTAAGAGCTTGTTGACCAGGCTTTCTTGAAAAATGCCTATTGATCACTTAAACCCAGGCAAGTCCATCAAAAACTGCCTGTGGGAAGCAACCACGCAGCCAGCTCTACAGCCACTGGGACGTGTACCGTTCATCAGAGGTGGCGGCAGCCCAGGTGGCTGCTTTTACCCACCAGTAACGCGTTTAGAGAAGATAAGCCCTGAGAGCAATTCAGACCAATGACAGATGCCTGGGTGACGCCGGCAGGGCCCTGAACCTGCCGCCTGCTCCCAGCAGTGCGTCCGAGCAGGAGGAAGATCACCGTGAGACGTGACACTTCCGGTTTTTAAACTGCCTGTCTTAGGGCTACTTCAGGCCCAGCCCGGACTCTTCCATCACCCAGGCCCTAAGTCCCGATTCCTTGATAGGACAGGAGAATCTGACATTCTCAGACACAGAAACAGCAAGAGAAGAGGGGAAAAGTGTGGTGCCCATGTCCCCAACCACCCCAACCCCCACCACGGGCAGGCTTTCCACGGAGCCTCCTCCGTAACCTGGGTTCTGAGATCGACGGACACATCCTTTGTAGCAAGGATACAAATCCGACTGCTTTTCTCTCATCCTGCTCCATATTCCCAACTGCTTCTCGCTGAGCCAGACACCCGGGGTAGACACCCAGCATTCCTGCTGCATGTTGCCCATGCAGGCTCTCCTTCATTAAGTCACACCTGCCAGCAGAAGCCCACCCACACAGCATGGGATGCTATGAGCTCTTCCCTCCCTAAGTATCAACTGCCAAGTCTCAAAGCTATGACTCCCTGGAAACCAAGAGTTTATGACATCGGGGCTTCCAAAATAGGGGAGCCCTTCGGGGAAGAACTCAGGAGCCCCAACAGCCCAATAGGTCCAGGGCCCCCACACACCCACTCAAGGAGAGAAGGGCAAAGAAGCAGAATGCTACATCTAACTCTGGAGAAGAGCAGGTCAAACACAGGGAAACCCTACAACACAGCAACCTTCCACAGGGAGCCATGCAAATGGCTCAAACGCTGGAACTGGCAGATTGGCACACGGAGGAAGAAAAATATTTTAAAAAGCAAAAGGTTAATTTCACAAATTAATCTATACATTGTAAGATGAACATAAATTACCCCACCTTCGATTGTGCGATTTTCTAGGGGAGGTACTAGCTATGCTATGCATGAAAACCAAGTGCTCCTCTGCAAGAACACAGCAAGGAGAGCATACAGCGAACCTCTAAGAAATATTTATAATCCCCTCCGGTCTCGACACACACGCGTGCGCAGGACCACCCTAACAACACAGACACCAAAGGGAAGAGTGGTTTCTGTGCAAACAGTATCCATGGTTAGAGCAAGGTGTGGGTGACTGTGTAGACCCCACCTTGCGGCAGAATACTTCAATATCATTCGCTGCCAAGGAAGCCTTATATTTCCACTGATTTCAGTCATAAGACCAGACATATAATGGAAAAACATCTTTAATAAACTAATAAATTTTGTGTCCAAAAGGGACTTCAGATATCAGGATCGTGTTAGATGTATATGTGTTGGTGTTGGGTGCATGTGTGTGTGTTTGTGTGTGAATATTATATATGTATTCTACACACACACACACACACACACACACATATATATACACACACACATATACACAAAACCTGATGGGAATTGAAGTCAATGATTTTCTTTCCCTTTCTGACACTTTTCTGGATCCTCCTCCTATTGACCAACCTCCTGGATCTCCTAAACTCGTAGAATTTCCTGAGAACTTAAAACTGACTCCTACTTCCCCGTTGTGTTTGTGTCGCTCTCGGTGCTAACGGAGCAGATGCACAACGCACGCCAGGCTTCACCACAGGTGGGATCAGACACAAGAACTAACTAGCAAACTCGTCAATGATGATGGGCTTTGGGTGAAGGAAGTAGATTTGCTTCATCTCTCCTTTGAATTGACTTTGTATCTAGAAAGATGACTTAGGAGGGATACTTGTAAAGGCCACTTTCCTGCTGACTCTGTATTTTCAGTTAAATCTCACCAATGAAGAAGTTATTCCCTGGGAGTAAGTCAGGCCAGCCCCATAGCGACTTCCCAAATGAAACATTCAGGTTCACCACCAGTCTTGCCAAACTACTAATATCCAGCAACCCTTCTTCCTCCCCCATTTTACTGATGGTGTATTTTGGGGGTCGCACCAGAAGAATTTCCCTTTAATCTGTCAATTTGCTGTGAAGTCCTTCTATCGCTTTGCATGAAGCAATTAGATTTATTTTAGACTTCCGCTTGTTTATTCTAGGTCCTTGGCCGGTAGGCCCACGCTAATTTACAAGGCTGAATTAGGCACTTGGAACAGGGGCGTGAATCTTCTGAGGCCACTAGGGGACCGTTTAGTAAGTTTCTACCTTTGTGAACCAAATATTCCTCTGTGGGCCTGGTTCAGGCCCCCACCAAAGTGCCTCACTCACTTACTCCCATAGAAGAACTTACTCAAGTGGCCAGTGTGGCTCAGCCCCGTGCTCAATCATCTTCACAATGCACCAGGAAACTTCTCCCCAGAGGAGGAAACTGAGGAAAAAGAACGGAAGCATCCAACTCAGTGTCACTCAGCCAGTCTGGGACACAAGAAAGAAGGGACTCCGGAATCCTCCTGCCAGGCCAGTCCTTTGGCAATTAGCTGCTCAGAGCAGAGGACGTGAGTGACGAGCCTCTGCCACACCCAGAACCCACGTGGACTCCCTTCCTCACCAGAGAAGTTGGCCTCGGCCCGAGGAGGACTCTGCACGACCGGGCTGCAGGACAGGGACGTCAGCACCATGGCCGCCATCATCTCGTCCATTTCCACCGCCTCGGACTTCCTGGATTCAAGCAGATGAGGGCCAGAGGTTACATGCTGGCACTGCTGGTCACGTGATTATATCACCTATCTGGGCTGTGCCCTCCTCATCCCCACTCCAATCAGCCAGCGTGTACGTTAAATAAAGCATGAAGGTCTCCCCTCATTCTTCATGAAAAATACTCATTCTGGATTACGTTTATAGTATGAGTCAACCCCAGTCTAAGGGGGTCGGTCCCCATCCCACTGCTGACACCCGGGGGCAACTCCATTCTCTCCCCTGAATTCACTTCCTAACTAACTCTGCAGCTTAAAATAGAGAACTGTATTTTCAGGGGAAGGAAGGAGAGTCAAAGCAATGAAAGAGAGCATGGACAAAAAGAATGCCCACTAGAATTCGAAAGCACTAAAATTTACCTTTCTTTCCCCATCTTAAATTTAAGAGGAAACAATTACACTAACCAATCCCTTTCCCCTCCCCCAAGAAAAATGATGTGGAATTCTTTTAGCTTCTGAATGTCAACAGAACCTAGTACATAAGCCAATGAACAAGTAAACCAGAAGCACTAAAGTAAATCTCAATGCTTTATACAGCAGAGGTCTATAAAATTTTACATGCGATTTTTAAAAAATCCATATGAAGTTACATTACGCGGAAGTAAATTTAGAGCTGTCTATAAGTTAATGCTAAGGTATGGAAAGTTAGACTGAAATACATTTGTAGGTAACTCATCCATTTCAAAGGACTGTAATAATCCTTTCTTTACAATTCAGAGCCACCAAAATGTGTGACTGGGTTTGAAGTAGTTAAACGAAGGCCAGTGATATATTAAACATATTAGCATCCCTTTGTTATACGTGATCTTTGTATTTTTATTTCCATCGAGTAGAAAAACAAGTTCTTTGCCAACATTCCTCTGAATTCACAATCACAAATATTGTTGCTCTGGTCTGGTCTCAATATTCTGGGTGTACTGTCAATGGCAGTATTCCCCACAGACAAGCACAGAAAGAGGTGGAATGAGGCTTAACTGTGTGCACATCCTGGATATAAGACAATCTCCATTGGCAGGTTTTCTTTTTTAATTTTAAAAGATCAATGTACAAACAGTATGTAACAGAAACTAGGATATAGATAGATAGATATAGATATATACACACACGTATATACATATATTCCCCCTCAGGGTAAAACTGTATCATAAAATTCTAAAGCCAGAGATATACATTCATACAGTCTGCATTCAACATTAATGGTTTTGAACTATGTTGAACACCTGAAACTAATGCAAAATAATACTGAACATATACTGTAAGTGAAAAATAAAAATTAAAAAAAAATCAATGGTTTCAAATGTCTAAGCGAGGGGTCAGCAATCTATGGGCTGTGGATCAAATGTGGCCTGTCGCCTGCTTTTGTATGGCTCCCAAGCTATGAATGGTTTCATAATATTTTAATGGTATTATAAATCAAAAGAAGAGTATTATTTCTTGACATGTGACACATGGAAACTAGATAAAATCGAAATCTGAGCGTCCACAAGTAAAGTTTTATTGGCGCGCAGCCGTGCCTGTGTGTTTCCTTATTGTCTGTGGCTGCCCTCACACTACCACAGCAGAGCGGAGTCTCTGGGACAGGGGCCGCGTGGCCCACAAAGCCTACCCTACTTACTATCTGGCCCATTCAGAACAAGTTCACTGCCCTAACTGGTTTGGCTCAGTGGATAGAGCGTCGGCCTGCGGACTCAAGGGTCCCAGGTTTGATTCCGGTCAAGGGCATGTACCTTGGTTGCGGGCACATCCCCAGTAGGGAGTGTGCAGGAGGCAGCTGACCGATGTTTCTCTCTCACCGATGTTTCTAACTCTCTATCCCTCTCCCTTCCTCTCTGTAAAAAATCAATAAAATATATTTTTTTAAAAAAAGCAAAACAGAACAAGTTCACTGATTCCTGATCTAAGCCATTTTTTCCTGTCTCTCATCATGAAAAACTAAGACCTAATTTTAATCTAAGTATGAAGAGAGGAAAAACAGCCCTTAGTCAAACCAAAAACATAGCAGAACAGGTACCATTCCGGGTTTTTCTAAGGGATGCCGTCTCTTCTCTCTGCGTCCCATTTGTCCAATATCTTGACAACTAGACACCTAGGACTTGCACATTCCTCCCCCATCACAAAACATGCCACAACCCCATTCCTCCCCACCCACATGATTTTCAGAGCAACGGTTCTCCCCCACAAACCTTTTTGGGACGTCAATGTTCCTGGAGACAGGCCTGTAGGCTTGCGCCTCGGCTCCCTGCTCCGGAAGTGGCCCCTGGGGAATGGGGCCCTGCAGCTCGGCCAGCCACACCTCCTCCGCTTTGCAGCAGATCTGTAACTTCTGGTCCAGCAGCCAGACCGTCACCTTGTCCTCTGCCAAACTGTGCTGCTCCACCAGTCCCGTGCACTCTTGCCCCTCATACCACACATACACCTGGTGGGAGAGAAAAGCAGCAACCGGGGTCAGCACTTAGTAGTTCTTACCCCACAGGCCCCAAGTTCTGGGATCCGCCTGACACCAACTAAAGTCCCCGACTCGGCTGTAATTTAAGCAAGATGCTGCCAGGTATCCGCTTCCCACCTGAGCCCCCAGTGGACTGGTTCTTCCCAAAGCAGATCCTTATAAACTCTCTACACCAGCGGTTCCCAACATGGGGCACACGCCCCACAGGAGGGCAACTTGATTTTTAAGGGGGGCCATTCGAGAATGAGTCATTAACAGTGAATTTTTTGCATTTCTTAGGGTTCTAGGGGCCTCATATATAGCATATAAATATATATTGTGACCTATTTATGCATTTCAGTTCTCTATTATATGTTTTGAAACTTTATTTGCTATTTTTTCATATCACTTCATGTTATTATTATTTTTTTAACAATTTCTTAGTGATTTCTTCCTCGGTACTTCGACTGTCCTTTTGTTCTTTTATTTTTCTCTTTCATGGATGTCATGTTCTTTGGAAGCTTGTTTAGACCAAGATAATGGCCTTTTAGGCTTCCTCCACGTGAATAGTTCACTATTTGAATAATAAGAATTATATGTCACAGGGAGGCGGGGAGAGGCATCAGGATTTTAGAGATGCTTAGGTGGGGCATGGCCAAAAAAAGGTTGGGAACAACTGCTCTATAAGGAGAAAGTGAACATGTCAGTTTCTGAGATTTTTTTTCTTCTGAACTTACAATCTGTATCCATTGAAGCTTAAGTTGTTATCATCTTAAAACAGACAGTTTTCTGTAAGCCTTGTGGCAACCAGGAAAAAAACTTCTAATTCAGCAGTCGCCAACCGGTGGTACATGGACCGGTGGTCCGTGAGGTCTGAAAGGTTGGCAACTGCTGCTCTAGTTAATACACAAAAAATTAATAAGAATCAAAGCATGACTCTGAAAAAAAATCAACAAACCACAAAGGAAGACAGCAAGAGAGGAAGAAAGAAAAAAGGAACTACAAAACAGTCAGAAAATAATAAAGAAAGTAACAACAGTAAGTCCTTACCTACCAATCATTACTTTAAATGTAAATGAGTTAAATTCTCCAATGAGTTAAATTCCAGTCAAATGACTTTGGAATCCGTGTCCATCCTCCGGAATTCTTGCCCTGCATTGCCTCCAAAGTCCTATAGATCTGCTGGTTCACAACTATTGCCTTGAATTACTCGCCCTGCATTTTGCCCTTCAGGGACTTCTGAGTCTACCTAGGAACAAGACGGTAGGGATGGAGAGGTAGGCTGTCCTCTCTCAAGGGCTGCCGAGCAGTTGGGGAAGCGAGCTGTGGGAAACAGAAGCCTTAGCAGGGAGACAAGAGGTAGAGCAGGGGTCCTCAAACTTTTTAAACAGGGGGCCAGTTCACTGTCCCTCAGACTGCTGGAGGGCCGGACTATAGTTTAAAAAAGAACTACGAACAAATTCCTATGCACACTGCACATATCTTATTTTGAAGTAAAAAAACAAAACGGGAACAAATACAATATTTGTAAGTGCATGTGGCCCGCGGGCCGTAGTTTGAGGACCCCTGAGGTAGAGTCTACTTAGGGACCCTGGAGAAGGCAATAAAAGAGAAGCCCACGCATCTGGATCTAGTGATACTATCAGGTACAGGCCCTAACACAAGGGGAGAAACACTGGAAAAGAAAGACCAAATAGTATTCTGACTAAACGAACACCTTCCTCTCTTAAAAACTTCTAAAGGTAATTCGAAGACACAACCTTATCTGCCTCTCATAAGCCTGAGATTCTTCCCTTTGTTTTGTTAAGTTGCAAACCAAGACAAGTTAAGAAAAAACTAGGCTGTGGCCATGCTTGAAACTGAGGTTTTGAGTAGGTCTAAGCCCAGAAAATCAGATGTCAGGTCTCGCCAGCCTTTTCTCCAGGCAGCACTGTCAGTCAGGGAGGAGTCCTGGGTCCGCTGCTGATGACTCATTCTCTCAAGAAGCCTGCTGCCCTCAGGCCCACAGGGCGGCAAGCTAAAGGTCTGTACGCACGCAAAAACGATGCCCAGGGAGTTCCCACCTGTCGCTCGGGGCACCACTAGCCTGCCGGCCACAAGCCTGGGAAGATCGGGCACGTGTCCACTCAGGCACCATCCTACCTTCTGTCTAGGCTGAAAGGCCATCTGCTGGAGGCCTGAGGTGCTGGGAGCCTTGAGGACTTCCTTGGGCTGCTCCTGACAGGACGTGTCCTTGGAGGTGAAGAAGGGCTGGGGAGCCACCCCCTCCAGCAGCTCCGCCTGCGGCTCCGAAGGTGGGGCAGCCCCGGGTGGCCCCACCACCCGGGCTCCCAGGAGGGACCGTTTACCGAGGCGCCGGGACAGCACACTGGCCATGCTGCTCTCTTTCCTGGGGAGGCAGAGGGGACACAGAACCCTTTAGCCATCATCTGGAGGAATCAGGAAGCTCCAGTCAGCGCCCTCCCTACACAGAGCAGCAGTGTCAGTGCCTATTAAAATGGATGAAACGTTTGATGGTAACTTTTAGAATATTTTTCTTCTTACAGAAGTAATACCCATTTCTCGTAGAACATTTAGAAAATACTGATAAGTGTGTGCACGCACACACACAAACACACACACACACACACTCAAGAAGCTGCCTCCCAGAGACACCTGCTTTCGCTATATAGCATTCCATGCTTTTACTTCTACAAAAATGGGACCATGGTTTGGTAAACTACATTTTCACTTAGTAGCTTGTACAGATTTAACTACATCAGTCAATGTTATTTGATAAAAACCCTTTTAGAAACCACAGAGTATCTTCCTAGGCAGATGCATCGTTGTTAATTTAACAAGCCCTTTATTATGATACCTGGGGGCTGTAGCCAGTGTTGTGCTGTTTGACCTGCTCTGCCCACAGGCAGCTTCCTGAGCTCTGCCTCAGCACACACACACACCAGGTCAGGTACTGATATCTGATACAGTCACGTACCGCTTAACGACGAGGATACGTTCTGCAAACATCAGCGTGCACGTACACAAACCTAGATGGTATACTCTTTCTACTTATAAAAGTTTTTTGCTGTAAAACGGTATTCCGTGTTAACTGGCAACAGCCTCATACACTGTACGCCTGCCATGTCTTGTGATTGCATCATGTTCTCTTGTGATGTTTTATACAATAACTTGCTGTACAGGCTAGTAGTCTAGGAGCAACAGGCTCTCCCATATGACCTAGGGGTGTAGTGGGCTATACCAGTGGTCGGCAAACTGCGGCTAAAACTTCGTGGCCCATGCGCAGAAGTCGGTATTTTGTGGAAGAGCCACACTCAAGGGGCCAAAGAGCCGCATGTGGCTCGCGAGCCGCAGTTTGCCGACCACTGCCCTAGAACGATGTTATAAATATCCAAATGGCCCTTGGCAGAAAAAGGGTTCCCCACCCCTGCTATAGAAGCTCTTCGCAACCTGCCAAGGGTGACAGAAAAGGGGGTTTTACAAGTCTTTTACTCAGAGCTTCTAGGGCTGGAAGCAGAGAGCAGAGTATCTCCACCAGGAATTCCCCAGAAAGGAGAGAAAAGGTAAGAACAAGGTCAGAGTCCCAGCACCCTAAGGAGCTCCTGTTCGGCTGTCTGGTGACTTCACAGCCAGTAACAACACTATGGCGGAAAGCTTTATTATCATGAAAAGGGAGAAGAATGTGAGAAGTAAATTCCTGGCCAAAAAAATGTACATCCAACTAACTCGGTTTTTACAACCCACTCACCTCCCTTCATCCTTGAAGCCTCAAGCCAGAAACAAGAACCTCTAACTTGTCCTAACTGGTTTGGTTCAGTGGATAGAGCATCAGCCTGCAGACTGAAAGGTCTCAGGTTCGATTCCGGTCAAGGGCATGTACCTTGGTTGCAGGCACATCCTTAGTAGGAGGTGTGCAGGAGGCAGCTGATCGATGTTTCTAACTCTCTATCCCTCTCCCTTCCTCTCTGTAAAAAATCAATAAAAGATATTTAAAAGATAAAAAGAACCTCTGGCTCTCCATTTAATTCCGTGGACCAAGAGCTAGAGGTGAGGCCGCAGTACCGCTGAGAGACATCAGAGGGCAGCATCCATCCAGAGAAAAGAAACAACCCTTTTCTAGACCAAAAAAACCAGTAGCCACCCCCACTTTCCACAACAGGAAGTTTGAGGTTTCTACCTCTGAAAATTAAGAAAAAGTCCTATTTCCAAAATTCCTGGGCTTCCAGATGGAGCCTGAAATATTCGGCTAACAGACTGACGATGTTTTTATCAGCCTTCTTTTCTTTTTTTGTTAATGTAAAAAATAGTTTTTTTATTTGGTTTGTGAACCGACACCTTCCACAGCCTGCGGGATTTGCCGAGCTGGTGAACCTGCCCGCTTCTGGTTGGTTCCCGCGTCTGTTTGCTCTCTTCTCTGGCCTTTCTCCAAGTTCCACACCGAAATGTGCTTTATTTTATTCGTTGATGGTATGCCCACATCTTAATTTTCAAAAGCAGAAGAGAAAGAAGGAAGAGAAACTTTTGCCTTTGTCGAGTGCCTCCTAGGCACTAGCTTTCACAAATTGTATCTAATTTAATCCTCAGAACAATCTGAGATGAACAGAATGGCCTTTTATTTCTGATGGGGAGACTGAGCCATAGAGAGCATAGGGTGCTGAGGCTACACAAGTAGGAGCCAGCAGGAGGGGGGCAGGGTTTGAGGGGTGCTGCACCCATGTCTACCTGGGGTCAAAGGTCATAATCCTGCCATTATCCCAGGAGGTGTGGGATCTCTCAAAATAAAACACTCCATTAAGTTGCTTTTTACCTACAGTGGGGCCTTGACTTACGAGTGTCCCGACTAACGAGTTTTTTGAGATACCAGCTGTCTCTCAGCCGATTTTTTGCATTGAGTTGACAGAGTAATTTGAGTTAACGAGCTCCTTAACGAGCCCTACTGTACATGTAATTTTCCCCCCTTTGTCAGTGAACCTTAATAGAAAAAAAGAAAAGAGAAAAAAAAAAAACCTCTGATCCTGCAAGTCTCTACTTCAGTTTCTCCGTACAATTTCTTTCCTTGAGAAATCTCTTCACTGGCGTCTTAGCCTCTTACCTACAAAACAGAGGTCAATGCTTTAGTCTGACCTTGTTAAGCAGTCCAAGTCACTGTTAATCATTTAGTGGTTTGGGGAGACCTTTATACACATACTGCCCTCTGAGAGGGAGCAGAGAAATTACGCAATCCGTCTCAAAAGTTAAAAGATGTTAGCCAGGTTTACACGAGTGACTGGCAGCATGGACGTGAAAAATACAAATCTAGACTAGACGTGGGCTGGGCAGCATCGCCAAGCGGGATTCGCTGCCTCTCCTGTATTTCTCGGCGCACTCTCTATATTACGGGCATGGCTCTACAGATAACAGAGCCCTTCGAGGGCTCAGAGGTGGATGAGAGCACCTACGGAGGTCAGCAGGGCAGTGGGGTGGAGGAGCCAGGTTAACTCTGGACCAGGGGTCCTCAAACTACGGCCCGCGGGCCACATGCAAATACAAATATTGTATTTGTTCCCGTTTTGTTTTTTTACTTCAAAGTAAGATATGTGCAGTGTGCATAGGAATTTGTTCATAGTTTTTTTTTAAACTATAGTCCGGCCCTCCAACGGTCTGAGGGACAGTGAACTGGCCCCCTGTTTAAAAAGTTTGAGGACCCCTGCTCTGGACCTTCGAGTGACTTTTCAGGCTCACCTGTTACTTTATACCTGGGATTAAGGGTCCCACCTTCCCTCCTAGCACACGTCTATCAATCTAACTGGAGACTTCTTCAAACCTCTCTTCCCTGATCTCTCTGCTTCTATTCACTCCCCTGTGGGTTTCTTTCTCGGGAGTAATCCAAGGTCCATACAAACCAGCCATGCCCTAATTCACCATATGATCTGGTACAGCCAAGAGAAATCAAGAAACAGCCTTTAAAGAGCGGTTCTCAACCTGGGGGTCACGACCCCTTTGGGGGTCGAACGACCCTTTCACAGGGTTCGCCTAAATACATCCTGCATATCAGATATTTACATTACGATTCATAACAGTAGCAAAATTACAGTTATGAAGTAGCAACGAAAATAATTTTATGGTTGGGGGTCACCACAACATGAGGAGCTGTATTAAAGGGTCGCGGCATTAGGAGGGCTGAGAACCACTGCTTTAAAGGATAACAATACCAATGTTTCGACATGTAGCCAAATCTCACTTCTGATGTTACATTCCTGACGTACGGAATTCCTTGATTGGAACAAACTGGTGCTAACAAGGACGTCCTGCTGGTGTACAGTCTTAAGGGGATCCTGGGGCCTCTTGTGCTTCTCACCCCTTCCGTTGTCACAAAGAGGAGGGGTTAGCTAACTAGAGTACATATTTTGGTCAAAGTCCAAAAGGGGTTAGCCCCTTTCCAGGCTCAGAAAACACACTCTGATGTGCCAGTGGCCCTTAAATGAGGACATCTGCCCTCAGTTAAATCACTGGAACAGACAGGAGAGGGAAACAAGCCTTCTCTGTGGTTCTGAGTTGCAAATTGCTATTTGACATGTAACTGTTGCCGGACAACCACATGTCTCGGGCCTCTCACGCACAATGGTTGTTCTCTCCTACCTAGGGACACTGCAGCAAGCCATGACATCACCCAGGGGCACTTCTAGGACACAGGTCATAAGTCAAAATGATTCATTACATCACTAATAATTTGGGTTTGTTTTCTTTTTTCTTTTCTTTTTTTTTTTTTTAGTTAAGAATTAAGTTTGGAGTAAGACTCTCGTGTTTGCTAAATCTTGGGTGCCTGCTACAAGCTCTCGAATGAACCATTAATTTATGGATCAAGGTGAGGGACAGCATCCCGTTGCCAAGTTTCAGGTTCTCTACTGAACCTCCGCTTTCTAATTCATGATCTCCACTGGGTATAACCACTGCACAGAATGCCAGTTGGAGTTTTTAGTTCTTTGGCTAATATTTTGCATCCAATCCTTAAACTTTTATCAGAGAGGTGCTCATTTTTTCCTTTAAAATCTGTCAAGTTTTGCCCAGCCGGTGTGGCTCAGGGGTTGAGCTTCGACCTATGAACTAGCAGGTCACGATTCAACTCCCAGTCAAGGCACATGCCCGGGCTGTGGGCTCCATCCTCAGTAGGCGGCGTGCAGGAGGGAGCCGATCATTGATTCTCTCTCATCATTGATGTTTCTATCTCCCTCTCCCTGATTCCATTTATGAAACCAATAAATATATATTTTTAAAGAAAATCTGTAAAGTTTTAACTAAAAACTTTTTCCAGTGTGATGTTCTAAGCTCATTCAAAGGTTAACATGTAGCAATAAACATCTCTTCTTTCACAACACAACTCAATGGAGAGCAGGATT